GGTGTGATTTTCCATGAGTCTCATTGGTCCTGGCCTCACTGCCATCAGATTTCCCAAGGTTTCTTCTCACCACCTTTGCAAGCGCGATCACCGTGTTGGAGCACCGTGACTTGTCTCTTCATCCAGACTTTTCTGACTCTGTTTTTGCGACCTCCAAACACCACACTGCAAAATCGATGTTTGTTCTGCGCGCAGATTATGAAGATATGAAACAGTTCAGTGACACCATGATCTGCCTATCGGGCATTACTCTGCGTCTTTTCGAAGATGACTTTCGGGATCTTTACATGGAGCCTTGGTTGCTTTGGCAGACTCTTTTTGTCGACCTAGCATTTGAGAATAATCACGTGTTGACTACTTGTTTTGCTGCCCAGCAAAGCATCATCAGGATCCTTTGCTTCTGACAGCTGTCTTCGGCTTCATCACAGCTTCTGCAATTTTGCTCCTCAATTTGCTGATCGCCCAGCTGAATTGTTCATACGTGTACATCTACCAGAATATGCTGGGATATGCCAAGCTCAAGAGAGCTTCCGTCAACGCTGCGTGGTTGGAATGCTGGTTCGCTTTACAGATGCTGTATACATGTGAAGCTCACTTGTTTGGGGGGAGGAGTTTGTCTCCGAAATGATGAGTGAAATCAACATAAATCAACAACCTGTTGGCGACTGACCAACCCACGCTTCTGTACTGCGTATGGGAAGAGTTTCAACACAGCTTTTAGAATGGGGGGTAGGGATGTCAGGTACTGGAATAGTTTTTTTAGTTGTTTCTGGAATGTGTTTGCCAGAATACTCTTAGCCTTGGGTATATGATACCCCCGTTGCAACATACCCGGATTTTGTTTGTGGATGTTGCTGATTTGTCAATCAATGGCAGAGACAGAGAACTTTTTGTCAAGGGTTTCCACATACCTGGAATATTGAAATATTGACTATCAATAGAGACATCGAGCTGGAGATATACCTGGAATCATTTTGATGAAGAGTCGACTGGACTAACCAGTGATCGATCTCGACATATCTCGACGTCCATCGAAGGCTCTCGACCGCGGTTTTTGCATTATTATGGGTGAAGACATACCAGGAATGTGTTTTGATATCATATATCATGAACTCAAACTTCTCTGGAATATTAAATCCAGTTAATTATTCCAGAACTGCCTCAGGCCTTGGAATATGTTGAACTGCTGAGGTTACACTCTGCCAGAATATAAACAAAGACAAGTATTCCTGGGGGTATCGATGGGGGTATCCTAAGGGACCATCCATTTTAGATGCTTTTAGTGAGTTTGTTTGAATGGTGTGGTTTGGATTATTTGGATTGGAAGTTTGATGAGTCGAGAGCTGTATGATGAGAAGTGCATTCGTCAAGCCCCAGCCTTCAAGAAGTGGACATGTGGCATCCGTGAAGCATCAATCCCTGTCATCCTTCGTTTCCACATTGGCTCACCGAAATGGTAGCAGAGTTCACAAAGGTGGAGCCATTTTGCAACCCTTCCTACCTTTCGGACCGTTCGCTTGCACGTCGCGTTGCTGGCGCTTCTCAGGTTCAAACCTTGGTGTACACCAAGCCAGAGCGATGGGAGAACTTTGTGAATTCGTTGGGTTTCAAGACACCTTTGGAATTCAACGAAGGAGATGTTGGCATGGCAGGTGGCATTCAGGCTGGCAAGATGGGCGCTCCGCCGCCCAGCATCTTAAGGGATCCTATGGAGTATGATATAGTAAGTATGATGAGTATTCAAGATTATTCAAGGTTGGAGTATTATCGCTATTTATCGCTATTAGTAGATTGGAGGCATTTGGAGGCCATCTCTCTTAGGTTGGAGGCCATGGCTGGCAGAGCGGCCTTTTCACAAAGAAGTCCTTGAAGTATTCTCTGAATTTCTCCCTTCAACAAGTCGCTTCTGGACCCTCTCACTGGACCCTCTCGTCAGGCCATGGAGCCTCAGAATCTGGCGGTCGTGGCGTCGGATCGCATCTTGCGCTTTGGTGGCAGTTGCTCCCAGGATTTGGAATGGCCGGCGGACAATAGCAGGAGTCAAGTGGATGAAGAGGAGGACAGCGCGGTCAAGCTTCGTATGCAATATACCTGGATCTTGAATCGACACTAATATTTGCCGGATGCATTTTTCAGCGAAAAGACACCATAATCAAACATTTGCCGTTCTAGGATGGTTTAGGGGTTGCAAACATGTCCACAAAATCCATGGACGGGGGAAGACACCGTTTGGACGCCTAAAAAAGATGCCGTTTTGAAGCCTAAAACGCCGTTTCTTTTTGGTTTCTGCCGGTTTCCGCTGGTCACAACACAAAAAATGCTGTCTTTGGAAAGAGACGCCGCAACGGCATTTTTTCTTGAAAAGCAAATTATTTGTGCCGTTTCGAGGATCCAGGATCCAGGTAATTATGAACATTTATGTCATATTTATGAGAATCACGTATCAAATAACTACTCACGCGTATTTAGTTCAAGAGGTTTTGTATTTGTGTGTTCCCTCTTTTGAGCAACCTGCGGTTTGGGTTTCTCAAGCACGCGAGTGCTTTTTGCATGTGGTGCGCGCGGATGGTGCCGCTTCGATAGAACAGAATCCAGCACAATTTGGCTGTGTGTGTTTTTCTTGCTCGCATCAAACTGAATCAATGGTGGTCGCTTGTTTTCGCAAAAACTGTTTGATTACGGAATTGCTTTGCTAGCCACAGCACGAAGCACGCACGCGCAGGGTGTACTGTACGGCTGTACGCTCTTAGGTTGATCCACGATTCTGTTGACTGCATATTGGCCAGGAGAAGCTAGCAGCCCTGGAGCGCCTTCTCCATTCGACTTTGTCAAAGATGAGGATCTTGGGAGACAATTCCACAATGCTCACGTCAGAAAAAGGAAATTCAGTAGGAGATCAATGTAGGCGAATGTAGACATGAAGGTATTGTCGTCATGCCCTCCGGTATGAGCCGGTGCTGGTCACGAGTAGAGCTTAGTTTGTGGTGGCCAACGGGTTACAAACTAAGATGTTTGTCCATAAATCTTGGAACGAGGGTGTTGCAGGTCATGACCCACCAAACGCATTGAACACACATTGCAAGCACATGTGGTTATCATGCCATGCAAACCAATGTGAATACTTAAACTTATATATATATTGATTTTGTTGGTCTTTCAGTAACACGTTCTTAGTTCTTCCTTGCAGGAAGGAACACAAAAGTAAAGATAGATCTGGCGCGAGTGCTGGAGTGAGCGGTGCTGCCCAAAGTGTAACTGGCACAAGTGGGGCGGGCACAAGCGGGGCTGGCTATAGCGGCGCTGGCTTCAGTGGTGCATACAGTGACTGAGGCTGGATGTTGCAACAGTAGTCTATAAGAGGTTGAATGATTTTGATGCAGTTTCAACTTCATGTTGCTGACAGCTGGTCAACAAAGCGCTCCAAGTCTCCTTGGGCGTTTGCTATTGAAGGTAATATGACAACCTTGTGTTTGATCACAAACTTGTTGGGTCCAGTCATTGCAAGTCATTCTTCGTCAATACATGTCAATACTATGGTGGCCCCCTTGCAAAAACACTGTATCACAATTAAATGGAACTTCAGTGTACTTTGTACTCCCTTTAGTTTACGGTGTATGCGAAACAGGTTTGGAGCCGATCTTCGTTGTTTGAGAGGGTGTTGATTTTTTCATCCCTGAAAGGAATCATTCTCCAACCAACTGTCCGCAATAACCTTTGCATAGCCAGCAGGTTGGACCATTGGAGGAATCTTCTCAGGGAGGCTCTTCCAGCGCAAAGTGATGGGAGAGGTGTTAATGTCGCCAGAATTTGGCACTTGCTAACGTTTGCAGCTCGGGGAGACCAGCGAAGGATGGATGCCCCTTGGGCCGGCAATCACACCATCCATGCCAACACCATTGTACCTGGAGGTGGGAGAGATCAGTGTGGAAAGGAACGCAAGAACGGAACAAAGAAAGATTTTAACTAGTAGCTTCTTGTTCCTAGTAGCGATGGCCTCCAACCTAATAGCGATGGCCTGCACCTAATAGCGTCCTTGCTACTAGTGGGAAATAATACATTCATATATGTATGCATTCATTTGATGGTTTCATGTTTGTACAATGGATTGTAGACACTATGGATCATTGGCACTGAGACAAGATTGGATCCTTGGCTGTTCCGTGTCGTGGTGTGTTTTTCAATATTCAGAGTGTCGTCAACAATTCGTGTCCTTCCTCTCGGAAGTAGAGGAGACGAGCAAGTCACTTGGCAAAGCCAATTGGGCCCAGATAGTGGAGATTTATGTAATTAATGCATGCAATTTTGCACAGTTCTTTTGAGAGTGGCATGTCGTTTGAAAGTATTGCCGCTTGAGTGCAATTGCAGCCTTCAATACGTTTGGTTTGTTTTTGTGTGTGAAAGCTGCACTGCATGTGAAAGCTATGCAGAAAACAAACTATCTTCGTTGAGCCAAAAGCAACATAGTGTTCACGTTGCACATGTTCATTGGCAGTTTTCGAATCTGGTGGCTGGTGGCATCCAAAATGCCATTCTCAAAACACAGTCTGAAGCCGACTATTTTCATTGGTTGCTTTGCGCCTGGTTCCACTTTGATTGCGATTTCTATATGAATGCTTTCGAGGATCAGAGCAACAGCCGAATTTTCACCGTGTTGGTGTGACAGCCGTGCGATGTTCACAAGGAAGTTTCACAGAAAGGTGCACTTGCGGCTGAAGGGTTTTGCGAAGAAGGGTTTGCTTGGTGTTCTCCCCACCTCACAAGCTGGATGCGTTGTTCTTACACATTAAAATGAATCAATATGTAGTATGACTATATGAATCATGCTATAGAGTACACACTCATGATAAAGAGCATGATTGAGATTGTCTCCGGTGATCATTAGTCCCTGAGTTGTAAGAGATATGGGGCATGCCCTTTGGAGAGGCGACTTGAGACACTGCGTATCACTGCTTCTTCGTCATTTTAGGTAGCAACGCAACTGACCCACTGCTGGTGACAAGGCTCTTCTGACAGCATTGGGTGAGATCGAGCGCCAAGCCATGTCAATGTGCGGGATCTCAGATATGCAAGGGTGAAGTGATGTGTTTTAAAGTCTTCAGAGCATAGATGGTGTGGCTACAGACCATGCGCTTGCCTTTGTGAAAACAGCCTGTTTGTGAAACATGCCAAGCTTCCAAGTGCCGGTCACAGCACTGAAGCGCCTCAGGGCGACGAAAGAGGCTCGGCGCACTGACCACACCACACTGGGCACTTGCAAAACAGCCTCGCGCCAACCTTGCACTCATTGTGAATGTAAAGACATGTGAGTGGTTTTCAGGAATTTCACGTATTACTAGCTGTCCCTGGGACCGACACATTCATTAGTATTTGGAGTTGTTAGGGATTTGATGTCTAAGTTGTTGGTATGGGATAGGAGGTGACATTGGAACGATACCTCGAAGCATATGATCAAGAGTTACTGTTTTGCAGTTCAAAACAACATGACTGAGTTCATTTTGGCAAACATGTGCGGTGCTGTCAATCAATGACGTTCGACTTGTTGGCAGAAACTGTGCAATCCCTTCACGAATGCTTTGCAGGATGTGCCGCTCACAAGTGGTGGCCCTCCATGTACGTGAAGTGACGACCACGACCACGAAGTGGAACGTGTCCAGCCAGGCTCCGGGTGTCTTCAGGGTGTCCGCGGGTCCACGAAGCGACTGATGGGATCCACGAATTGACTTGAGGATGAAACAACGGTCAACACGTCCTCACAGGCGAACGGCAGCTTCAAGGTCTTGTTTTAGGGTCAAGCAAGATCACAAATTGAGGCACAGCTCCACACCATTTTCTATTTGATTAGGGCATTAGGGTGTGCAAAGGTGCGTGGGAGGACTATACTAATGGAATCCGGGAAATCAATCTCATGATTCTAAGAAGCACTGTCTTTTCTATGTACGACATTGTACGACCACTTCCATCGATTGTCAAAGGACCTTCAATTGCAAAACCATGTGCCATAAGCAACCCGCGGAAGAGATGATAGAAGTTTTGAAAGCCTAAAGGATAGCTGTTTGTTCTATGCAAGCATGCCCACTTGTGTCCCTACATCGCTTTCTGCGTTTGTCTCTCGCATCTGTAATTTGAGTCAGTCATATTGCTTGTCACTGGTGTCTTGTGGGTGCTCTATGTGAACACGACTCTGGGAGGTTAGCTCCAGTGAGGCAGATGGGGGCTCTCCGGAGACTTTAAGCATTTTTAAGCAATCCTAGATGCAACCATGTCCACTCAAGAACGTTTTAGATGTTTATAGATTCGATGTTGTGATTTGAGGTAGAAAGACAATGCAAGATGATTATGATGACTAGGATGATTACATACTGGCTGCCTTAGCTAAAAGACTCAGGGGTGACCCTGAGGCAATTATTGTTTTTGCAATTATATAATTTCCAATATCTGGGAAAAAAACAAATATATATATATAGTCGTTACATACACTCCCGAAAACTAGCATAGACCCTGACAATGGCCCCCTGGAAGAGTGTTTTCCTCCACCAACCAGTGGTTTTCAGGGTCCATGTTAGTCTTCCAGGGTGTAATCCAGTATGAAAATTCAACGTCGGATCACGGGATAAATCCGGAAATTATATACTGTAACTCCTCTTTTAGTGGAGGGAGTATATGGTTACACACATTATATATGTGGACAACGGAAAATGATCCTAATATGATTATGACGCACATGAGGTGGCGTGGGTGTGTGCGGGGGTTGGGGGGGTTGTGGCCAAAGTGTTCACATTCGTGGCAAGTGATGTGGACTCATCTCATGTTTAATAACATAGGCTAATTCCAAAGATACAATCGATCACAGGAACCTTCTTGCAACTCACTACCTCAGGGACCTGGATACGAAAGCGACTTGAGAGCTCTCGCGATTTTTTCGGGCGAAGGCATGCGAAGCAATGCGTGGGGCCATGTGATGCATTCAAACAGGCACTGTGGCAAACTTGAGATCGAGTGTGCAAGCAAACACAAGCTTGGGTGGTAGACCTTCGGACTCGTGTTTGGGCAAAAAACCGCTGACTATCAGACATACGGCTTTTTGAAGCCATGCAAATGCACTGTGAGTTACAATGTAAAAAGCACCACGTCCATTTCTGCGGCCAGCAGGATGTTTGAAGGACTTTTTCAACATGAAATGCGAGATGCAAAATCCATGAAACCACAACACCTTGATCGGGGAGATCAAAACAAACATCTCCAACATCGTGACTTGCTGTGTTCAATTTAAACATTGTGACGCCGATGTTTGCGATTAGCACTTGTTTTAATGCACCAAAACATGCGCACATAGGCAGGCGCTTTCGACTCGTCTCACGTTTTCGTCTCCCGTGTCATCACATCGTCCGGAGAACGCCTCAAGTGGGTCGTCACATCGGAACCGATGTGTTGCTTTGGTTGGGCCACAATTAGCATGCTTTTTTGCGAAGTCTTACAGTCATACTGAGTCATTCTGAGTGTTTATTGGATGACGCACCTAGCCAGGCCGTGATCTCTTTTTGTGGCGGAGCGTGGCTTAAAAAGGAGCCTACAGACATGATTATGGCATTAATTATAGTCTAATCATGAACAACTGAATAACAATGAAATACAACGAATATCTATTTCATGGTTGTCATTGTTTGTCAAGTGGGATAGATTGGCACACGAAATCGCACTAAGGTTTCAAACCGTTTGCGTTGCCAGTGTGAGCCATGGCCCTAAAGATTGTCATGGAAGAAAGACAAAGTCGGTGTGGCTAAGACACATGAGAACAAAGGAAAAAACAAGTTGGGAGGACATGTTTTGGGGAATGGACGTAATTGCAATTAAGCTTTCCAATTAATCCCAGCAACCTTATTCACTCCAATTCCAAACATCTCCGTGTTCCTCGCGCACGCCTCGATGCCGAAACGCGACGTGGCCTGCACTCCGTCCGGGTTCCCGAGATCGGTGCGCCGTTCCGGACGACTCAGTTTGGTCACCTTGTTCCTCAAACCTGAAAACCGTTGGGAGACACAAGAGTCTATTTTCGATGAAACGAACATAGACATAGGAAGCGTATTGAAGTGATTCGTATGGCTGCCTGACGGGTTTCCTTGGGATTTCCATGGTCAAGACCTGATGAGATCAGTGCGCCACCGATCAGTGAGACCGGTGGTGCACCACCGATTTGACAGTTCTGTGTGCACCACCGGTCTCCTGGGGATGAATTGGTGGGCAGCTCGCTCTAAAGGATTCAACTCTTCGGGCGTGTGCTCAACAGAACAAATCCAAAGCAGAGAAGGGAGAGCTGTTCAATGTAATTAGTGGTGAATCTTCAGGCACAGCAAGCACCACAACTGCAGTTTAATGTTCCAAGGGCTATCTTCCACCCGACCCATCATATATTGCCTGTGAAACCAATCATTTTAGCGACCTGACTGAGCAAAATGCCAGACTGGCATTCCAACAATCCCTCAAAAAATGTCTTTACAATCAACATTTGCTTGATGCAGTCAGCATGGAACCTTGGACTGGGAAACCTGATCCATATTGGAAGATAGTCAGAAACGAGTCAGAGTGTGCAGAGACGAGATCAAAAGGAGCACAGCATGCTTCTCGTTCAATTTCAGGATTCTTCCATTTGGTCTAAACCTTGAATATAAGTACTACTACCACAGAGCCACAGAACGAGCCTGTTCTTCTGATGGAAACAACATGAAACAACAAAGGAATGAACTGAACCTGATTTTAGCTCGCTCATTTGAGGCATGTTTGAAACATCTACAGCTTTTGTGCAGCTACCAAAAGCTGTTCCAATGGCGCATTCACATGCATTCACAGTGTCCCAAAGTGAGCTTTTTGACACCGACACAACATGCTGCTATTTGCAGTCCGCAAACATGAAAGAAACATATTGCTCTATCAGGAGAGTTGGCGCATGCTTCAACTTCAGTCATGTCTCGAGTTTGGCCCTGTTGTTCTTTGTCCATTTTTGTCCTACGGTTTGACAGTGAAACAACAGAACGGTCGAGTGGAGAGGAACCCCAGGGCCCCATATGCAAGCGAGGACCAGCTCGTCTCGCTCTCGCTCTCGTCTTCCAAGGGAAAGTGTGGCCCACCGCTGGGTGGAGGACTTCAGTGCTTGGACCACAGCACCTGCTGGAACATATTGGAACGTGTTGGAACGTAATGGCAGGTCATGATTTCAAACGAGTTGATTGAACTCTACGCCTGAATGGTCCAGCTGTGGTTGCTGGATGGCTGGGGAAGGACCTTACGCCTGGCCCAAAGCCAGTCAAACGGCCCTGCCACACTACAAGGCCTTCTAGACATGTGAGACAAAGAGAGTTCGTATGGATGTTTTAAAGGTTTGAAGCATTGCAAGAAGCCTTCAAAAAAAATATATACACTTTTTGGGTCTCGAGATTGTGGGATCGAAGATTGCGTTGCAGGATGTTGCAGGACTGATATCGCTGCAGGTCTTATAGATGTGCGTTTTTGGTTTGTTCATAATGGTGCCCAGACGGCGTGCCGATGGATACTGTAACAAGAAGAAACCGAAGGTTTGCGCTTCTTGCATCGCTAGGCAAAATCCAATCGGCAGTGAGGACCGGCGCTTGGGGCTTGGGGAAGATGGGGGAACCGGCTCTTTGGCCCACAACGAAGAGGAGTTGCATGACCTGGGTGGCACCAGTTATTTAGGCTTCATGCCAGCCAGCCAGTCCAAAAGCCGTGCAAGGGTGATGCTTCGCGTCTTAGCAGGCTAAGAGAGACGCGATCAGGGACCTGAAGACCAAAGAAGAGGCGAGGATCAGAAGCGTTGGTGAGTTGTTTGATGACTTGGAGGAACTTGAGACTGCAAAGACCTTTTGAGTATGGGTGTTTGTTAGAATGAGGATACCCTGACCCTAAAGGACGGGTTTGAGCTACTTCCTTCTTGCAAGTGTTGTTTCTGTTGCAAGGGGGTGCTTGGGGGCTCTAAAGATTCATGTGGACTGCTTGTGTTTTCGCACCTGGACATAGGGCACCTCCACCTGGACAGGTGGCAGATGATTCTGATGAAGGAGCAGCCGAACGTTTGTGTTTGCTTCGAGAATGCTGTTTCACCCTTTCTTTCATTCAGATTGGACTTGAGCTTCCCGCGCGTTCGCACGCCTTCGCACGAACCGGAAACAGACACTGCCAGCGGCAGTGACGGTGGCAGTTGTGCAGTCCAAGTCTCAGGGGCAAAGAGCAGAGAGAAATCATTGGCAGGATGTCAACGCACACAGAAATACAGCATTTATGGCCCAGAGCAGTTTGTGTCACAATTTCCCGGCTGAGCACTAGATGATTCATTATGTTCAAGGGGATTTGTATTGGTTTGCCTTGCGAGCAGAGGCCCTGAGTGAAGGTCTTGAGCGGATTGCATGGCCTCTACCTGAGTCCTTCTTGTTTTCGAGTGCGTGCTTTTGACACATCCCACACAGAGAATGCGCACAGGCGGAATTTTTGGAACATGCCGATAATAATCCTTGAAACAGGTCTATTACAGTACTGATGCAGTTGATTGACGGCAAGTCAACACAGAGTGTGCGATACCCCTTTGTTTTAAGCACATCCATTTGCTTAAAACCAAGACAGGTCAATGGCAACTTACAAAACTTTGGCACACAAGGTGAGCCCGCGGACCCACAAGCAAAAAGAAGCGCAAACCCAGGAAAAATACACAAACACACATTAGCAGGCCAAAACGAAGCATCAGACCCCTCCAGGCTTCATGGCAACCATGATATTTCAAGCATCGCGGTTCTGGTGCGCATCCGTCCACCCCCGTTTGCCATATACACCCCCGTCCACCCCTTGGTCAGTTTTGAAAGCCCTCCAAAACGGTCATAACACGATTGCAACATGGCTTCCAACAACCCTTCCAGGAAGCGTGGAGCAGCATCAGCTCCCTCCATGCTTCGTTCCAACCATTAAATTTTCAAGCATTGCGGTTCTGGCATGCAACCATCCTGCCGTTTCTGCAATGACTTCGCCGGCTGTCTTTCGGCATACATTGCACACATTCTGCACACCCAAGACCGTCATATAGGCCGCGCCAGACAGTTCCACTCGCGCAAAAACGTTCTTCCGCGAGGCATGGAGTAGCATTAGCCCCCCCATGCTTCGTTCTACTTAGCATCCATCTTCCTTCCACAGCCCCGTCCACGCCCGTCCACTCTCCCATCTCCATCCATAGCCCCGTCCACACCCATCTTCCGTCCACGAAAATGCTTGCCTCGTCTCACCCTACCCCCCCCACTAACGACTAAACTAAACGAGAACCCAAG